GATATTGCTGCATCGCTTGACTCTTCATGGCTTTCCCTCTATTTTCATTTTTTTCATATTATTATTGACAAGTTTTCCAACCAAAACTACGGAGGCGGCCATTTTTTTTTTCTGGTTTCTGCTAAGAAACTTCCAGGATTGTCTTGGAGAGCGCTAAGTGGCGTTTTGGAGGGAGAGTTGGAGATCTAACGGATTGTGGTCTAACTTGTTTCTGAAGACAGAAACTCTGTATTGAGTTAAATGAAGTCATCAGAGTCACATTGTCTCCACCTCCATGAGCTGCCCCCTACCCCACATAAAGCTCAGTGAAAACAGCAGGGCTGCTGACCCCGATATTTCCACCTAGTGCCATACAGGACTCTTCCCACCAGCTGACTGATGAAATGAAGCAGAGCTTAGCTTAAAAGTAACTCATGCTGCTGATGACCTTAATCATCCTTGCTGGGCTATGTATCTGAATCACGTAACAAAGTAAGAGTGGACCTGAGCTTCTCTAACATGTCTGCTCTCTTCTCAGTGTCGTTATGTCTATGTGTCTAAAAGAATGATGGTGAGACAGAGCTTCAAAGGTTATCCTGGCGTTTCCTTCTACCTCCATGGACAACGATTAAATGTTGTACAAAATACAACATTTAATCGTTTTCATACATTTAGTCTTGTTATCCTCCCAGTTTGATATGTAACAGGTTAGGGAAATTATTATCTTCCTCCTTTTATGAGAAATAAATCAGAATGTTTCCATTTTAGAGCCACCGTTATCTGATGTAAATAAAACTGTTCACCTTGTTGGTGCCATTTTCTATCTAGTAATTTACATTCATATTTAGTTATTATTTTTGAATATGTTCAGTATTTGCATATTATAGAATATTTCTGATTGCATTAGAAATAAGTTACTGCTTTACTATTTTCGTAATTTCCTTTGGTTTCAATTTGCATTTGTTAATGCTTAGAATTATCTTGAATAATAGCTGATAGGATTTGACGTTGAGCGATGACGTTGCAGAGCTGTGCGTCTCTGGAAAAAAAAAAAAAAACTTGTGTGCTTTGTTCTGACTGGAAATAAAGACGGGGCGAACACACTGTTTTCTACCGTCGTTCAAATATCAACACGCGTAGACTCGTTCTTTCCGTCTGACTGAGTGGTTATTTGCATTCATGAGAAGAAACATTTAAGCACGGACATTTAGCCACTATATTAAGTAGAAAACAGTAGCCGAGGGCGAGACAAGTTCCGAGGGAAACTGAGGAAAGTGCCGCATGCGTTGGGCTCGCTGATGAAGGAAGCCTGCCGGCTTGGAGCAGCAGAGGGCGGTGCTCACCAGAGGATTTCCAGACGGCCTCAATGATGATGGATGAGTACAAAAATATCAGATACAAATGAATAAATAAGCAAAGCGTCGGACTTGGAAGTAATGACTGAAAATTCATGATATTTAACTGTATTTGCCGACGCCAAGTAACGTGGATGAGTCATTTTGCTCAAAGTTTCAAGTGTGCTGCTCTGCTTTTTAAGAAGCCATTTACATGGTTTGGAAAAAACGCTATTAAAAAAAAAAGAAAAAAAGACGTGGATGAGTAATTTTGCTCAAAGTTTCAAGTGTGCTGCTCTGCTTTTTAAGAAGCCATTTACATGGTTTGGAAAAAACGCTATTAAAAAAAAAAAAAAAAAAAGAAAAGAAAAGAAAAGTCACATCAGCTTAGAAGAAACTCAAGCCTTTCTCTGGAAATAAAGCCTTAAATCTTACTTTGGAAAACTACATGTTTTAAGATTAAAGGAAAGCTTATTTGGATTTCAGAAGTGTGCTAGAGTTTGCTGAGGCTTATTTAACATAAATAGCAGTTCAAAGTGTCCAAGGGTGGAAACAAGATGGAGAACAATGTCGAGCTAGAAACTAAAAGAAGGATCAAGTTAACTCCAAAGGCAATAAGTGAGAAGCTTGATAAGCAAATGTCTCTAAGAAAACGTGTTTTAGCTCGCCTTGTTTCCAAAGCAGAGGAAATTGATAATTTAATGAGAGATGATTTCAATGCACACACAGTAGAGAAGGATCACTTGAGAGAATACTCAAAATTGCTGAATGAGTTTATTGAAGTTAATAACACAGTAAGCGAACTGTTGTCAGAAGAAGAAAGAAAAGCTGACCAGCAGTATTGGAGTGAGCCTAATCTCACCAAGTATGAAAACTTTTTGTCCATATTGGAGCAGTGGATAATACAAGTAAAACAGCAACCAAGGGCTGCTCCTGAAAAGACAGCCACTGAGCATGAGGCTCCTGTGGATGTTGCTGTGGCACAGCAAAGTGAGTTTGCTGCTGCGGAGCTTGCTGCTGAAGAGGTGCATCCAGATGATAGTGTGTCCACTGTGCATCAGAAGCAGGCTTCAGTCCTAGTACGAAGCGTATGCAGTAAGGGATCCAGCGTATCATCTCATGCATCGTCTATGCGTAAGAAGGAGGAAGCTCGTCGAGCAGCTTTACTAGTGCGTGCAGATGCACTTAAGAAGAAAGAAGCATTACAGTTGCAAGAGGCCCAAATAGAAGCACAGCTTGCTGCACAGGAAGCACATCTTGCAGCACAGCTGAAATATCAGAAAATTCAGATGAGAACTCAATTGGAGAAATTAGATTTCGAGACAGCTCTCGCAGAATCCACAGCAAGGCTGCAGGTTCTAGAAGAATATGATAACATGGAAGATGGGATGCATTCATACCTGAACAAAAACATGCATGCAGCTACAACCATCCCACGTCATGGTCCAGACGTCAGACCAAAATCTTCAAGCTGTCTTCAAGCTCTCCCAGATAACCGTGTGCCTCATGTTCCAGCTAGGAACACACCGCATGAGCAAGTGAAGAAAGAAAAAGATGATGTTGCAACCACACGTCCAGGTGCCAGCGTACATCCTGGTGCAAAGCAAATGGAACTCGGTGAGGTGATCCTGAAACAGAAGGACATCACTGAGATGTTAGTCACACAACAAAGACTAGCCAATTTACCTCAACGCAAAGTCCCTGAATTCAGTGGTGATCCTCTGGAGTTCCTGCCGTTCCTGAGAGCATTCGAGCACATCATTCACAGTCGGACAGACAATGATGCAGATCGTCTGTATTATTTAGAACAATTCACCACAGGTGAGCCGAGAGAATTGGTGAGAAGTTGCCAACACATGAGTGCACAAGAAGGGTATGAGGAGGCAAGAAAGCTTTTGACTTATCACTATGGCAATGAACAGAGAATAGCTGCAGCCTACGTTGACAAGGCTGTCAAATGGCCTCCAATCAAAGCAGAAGATGCTAAGTCGCTCCACAGCTTTTCAATTTTTCTGACTGGGTGCAACAATGTAATAAATAATTTGGAGTATCTACAGGAAATGAACAGCCCAAGCAACCTTCGAATCATTGTCCACAAGTTGCCCTTCAGGCTTCGGGAAAGATGGAGAGTTGTAGCTTTCGACATCCAAGAGAAAGAAAAAAGGAGAGCAGACTTTGATGATCTTGTAAAGTACATCAACAGACAAGCTAAGATAGCTTCAGACCCACTGTTTGGTGATGTGAAAGACCCTGCTGAGGCAAGAGAAAGGTCTAAGTTCAGCGCTAAACCTGCTATGGGTCGACTGAAAAGAACCACTGGCCTAGCAACAAGCGTAATGCCAGCAGATCAGTCTTCTGACTCAAGAAGAACTAAGCAGACTAGCAACGCATTTCAAGAGCCATGTCTTTTCTGCAACAGGGGACATGGTCTGAGTGCATGCAACAAAATCAGAAGTCTGCCGAACAAAGAAAGAATTGAGTTCCTTAAGGGAAAAGGTCTTTGTTTTGGGTGTCTGACTCAAGGGCACATGGGAAAAGATTGCAAAAAGAAAGCCACATGTGAAATTTGCACTAAGAAACATCCTACACTGCTCCACACGAAGAGAGAGGAAGATGGCAACCAAACGACTGCCAAGCCTGAGAAGTCAAGTGAAGGCTTCACTAGTGAACACTCTAGCCCACAACAGCAAATGTCATCCAAAGGTGAACTGTCAGCTGTCACCGGGGCCGGAGGCAGTGACAGTATCCTTTCCATTGTGCCGGTGCGCATCAAATCCAAGAAGAGCAACAACACCATGGAAACGTACGCGTTTATGGACTCAGGAAGTTCAGCAACATTTTGCTCTGAAAGGTTGATGAGGCGACTTGGTGTCAATGGCAAGAGGACTCAAGTGCTACTACGTACCATGGGCCAGGAAAAGCCTGTGTCCTGCTTTGTCCTCTCAGATTTGGAGGTGTGCGGTTTGACAGAGAGCACATACATCAGCCTGCCAGATGTTTACACCCACACAGACATACCTGTAACAAAGGAGAACGTTTCCGGTAGAGCAGTGCTTCTCAATTATTATCTGTTACGCCCCCCCTAGCAAGAAGAAAACTATTCGCGCCCCCCACGCCCCACGTGACTATCCATCTCTGCATAACATTTTATCCTTATTAACATTAAAGAAAAAAAAAAAGAAAGACATATGGTCAAACTTACAAAGAATAACTTTATTAAATCGTGTTTTAAGTCATGTTTTAAACATGTTTAAACTGTAAACATGTTTGACAAACTAATTGCACCATTGCAAAATTAAATCAAATCAATAAATAATATTTAATAATTATAATAACTAATAAACTACAAAAAAAAAACTAATTTATATTTAGTTCAGCAACATTAACTCAGGAGCACAATATATAAAACACTTGAACCTACAAAACAAAAATGAATTAAACAATTTGTGCTCATTTTTTCTTTTTTTGATCAAAATGAGGAGGAAGTCAGGTTTAATGGCTACAATGAGCACGTTTTGCAGTGCACAGCTTTTCGAAGCGAGGTTCGAAGCATGATAGTGCAACTCTCAGCTCCTGCTCAATGTTTAGCTGGGACCTGTACTTGGTCTTCAGTGCAGCAACAGCAGAGAAGCCAATCTCACAAAGGTAAGATGTTGCAAAAGGAAGCAGAATGCTTATAGCTTTCTCTCATAAGAGTGGATACTGCCTCTCTACACTCAGCCAGAATGCACTGAGTGTCTGTGATGTGAACCTCAGTCTCAGTGTGGAGTCAGACGTCATGTCAATGAACTGCTCCTCTTCTGCAGAGCTGAAACCAGTTGGAGCTGCTGCACTGAAAGGGTCTCTCACCCAGTCATACTGGGAACTGTTTTCAGGGAAGTACTTTTTAAAGAATCCAATCAGTGAAGAAATATGCTGCTTAATGTGTGGAATCACTGAGATAGCATCATAGTCATTAGTGTCTACAAATTCATGCAGGTTCTCAAATGAATCTGTGTTTCCTTCATCAAGTTGCCTGCCCCACATTGCAAGCTTTCGGGTGAAAGAGCTAATCTTGTCTGTGACCTGAGGGAGGTGTTTATCTTTCCCTTGAAGCTGTAGATTCAGTTCATTTAGCTTTCCAAATATGTCACTCAGGTAGGCCAGTTTTCCCAGGAAGTTCTCATCACAAAATTTTTCTGCCACTTCATACTTGTGCTCCTGCTCCAAAAACACTCTTATTTGCTCTCTGAGCTCAAAAACACGGGACAAGACTTTTCCTCGTGACAACCACCTTGCTTCACTGTGATAGAGCACAGTTTGATGTTCAGCTCCCATCTCCTCACAGATGGCAGAGAAGACTCTTGTTTTTAGTGGTCTGGTCTTTATAAAATTGACTACATCTATGATGTCAGTCATAACCTCACTTAATTCAGGGGAAAGTTGCCTGGATGCAAGTGCTTCTCTGTGTATAATACAGTGTGTCCACTCAGCATGAGGTGAGGCTGTCTTGATGAGTGCCCTAAGTCCTTTTCTCTTCCCTGCCATGGTTTGTGCACCATCACTGCAAACACCAATGCAGTTCTCCCACTTTAGCCCATTCTCAGTCAGAAAGGAGTCCAGAATTTTGAATAGCTCCTCAGCTGTGGCTCTGTCCCTGACATATTTACAAAAAAGTAGATCCTCACACAGGGAGTTAGACATGTCAAAACGTACATAAGCAATAAACAGACAGTCTTTGTTGCTGTCAGTTGCTTCATCAAATTGTAAGGCAAAACGTTTGTCTTTGAGTTTATCTACCAGCTGTTCTTGAAGATCGTTAGCAATGTCATCTATACGTCTGGCGACAGTGTCATTGGACAGAGGGATAGTTTTTAGTTTTGCTGCACTGGTGTCGTCCAGCATGACAGAGACCATGTCTAATGCTGCAGGCAGTATCAGCTCCTCTGCTATGGTGTGGGGCTTTTTGCACTGCGCAATTTGGTACGCCACCTTATATGATGCTAACAGCGCTCGATGGTTTACTGAAGTAGCCTTCACAAAGCGGGATGACTGTTGGCAATATTCAGCACGTTTTCGCTGAAAAAACTCTAGCGGCTTATCGGCGTGATTGGGGTGTAATGTATTTAAGTGACGCGCTAATTTATTTGGCTTCATGCTGTCCGCTGCGAGCATTTTTAGACACAGCAAACACACCGGTCTTTCCTCTTCTCCAACTGTAGTGACAGTGAAGCCAAGCGCTAAATACGCTTCGTCGTATTTCCTCGTCTTAGCTTTCGGGTGACTTTCTTTTCTCTCATTATCTTTGTCTCTCTCCGCTTTTCTTTTCATCCCTGTTAAAAACTTTTTCATGTTGGCGGTTTTTATGTTGAATAACAGAGGCTTTAGACAGAACGCAGTCGGAGCTTTCTGTTGACTCAACACTGGTAACCAGGTAACCTTGTAAGCCGTAAAATGTTGCACTGTCGCAAACGTGACAGAAGTAAAAATTACAGCGCCACTGCCGCCTACTGTAGTGGATGCGCAATTACACTTTATAATAGTACGGCCCCAAAAAAAAAGCCTGTTCCCTAGGGTCACACGCGCCCCCCCAGGTATCGCACCACGCCCCCCAAAGGGGGCGCGCCCCACTATTTGAGAAGGACTGCGGTAGAGAAAGACCTGGAAAGATGGCCGTATCTGCAGAAGGAAGTGCAGTTACCACAGATCGATGCAGATGTGGAGTTGCTCATCGGAATGAATGCTTACTCTGCAATGGAGCCGTGGAAGATAATCCACAGTCAAAATGACGGGCCTTACGCCATAAAGACAACCCTTGGCTGGGTAGTGAATGGCCCTCTGAAGAAAGAGAATGAACTCAAACCACCAAGTCATTTCAGTCATGGTGTTTCAGTCAACAGAGTGTCAGTCAGCAGTGTGGAAAACATGCTGTTGCAGCAGTACAATCAAGATTTTCCGGAACAAGCCTGCGAAGAGAAGTCAGAAATGTCACGAGAAGACATTAAATTCATGCAGTGTGTGACGCAAACAACCAAGAAAATCGATGGACATTACTGCATTGGTATGCCTCTTAAAAACAAAGACATTGTGATGCCGAACAACAAGAGTGTTGCTGAGCAACGAGCATTGAGCCTGAAAAGGAAACTTGCCAAGAACTCCAGCTTTCATGACGACTACACAGCCTTCGTGTCAGACCTGCTGAGCAAAGGCTATGCGGTAGAAGTCCCTGCCAATGAGCGCAACCGCAATGATGGCCGAGTATGGTATATTCCCCATCATGGCGTGATCCATCCGCAGAAGGGTAAGTTGAGGGTCGTCTTTGATTGCACCTCTTCTTTCCAAGGGAAGTCATTGAATGAGGAGTTGTTACAGGGGCCGGACCTCACGAACAGTCTGGTTGGAGTCCTGACAAGATTTCGCCTTGATTACATTGCACTCATCTCAGACATAGAGGCAATGTATCACCAGGTGAGAGTCCCTGACGAAGATTCTGATCTTTTGCGATTCCTCTGGTGGCCAGAGGGAGATCTGAACCAGCCTCTGCGTGAGTACAAGATGGTTGTGCACCTGTTCGGGGCCAAGTCTAGTCCAAGCTGTGCTAATTATGCCTTGCGCCGGACTGCAGAGGATGGGAAAGATAGGTCGTCACCTGAGGCAGTAACCACGATTCTTGAGCACTTTTATGTAGATGACTGCCTTGTCTCAGTGTCTGACAAGAAGAAGGCTATTTCCTTAACCAAAGACCTCATTGCACTCTGCAAAAGTGGAGGATTCCATTTGGCTAAATGGTCTAGCAACAGCCGTGAAGTATTGTCATCACTTCCCGAACATGAGCGTGCGAAGGAGATCAAGAATCTAGATCTAGACAGGGATGAGTTACCCATGGAGAGGGCGCTTGGAGTGGACTGGTGCATAGAATCAGATTCTTTCAAGTTCCGCATTCTTGTGAAGAACATGCCTGTCACCAGAAGGGGTATCCTATCAGTCGTAAGCTCAATTTACGACCCCCTTGGCTTCCTGTCGCCGTTCATCCTTATGGCTAAGATCATTGTGCAAAATCTCTGTCGGTTGAAACTTACCTGGGACGATGACATTCCTGAAGAAATTGCGAACAGATGGTTTGCCTGGCTGTCTGACTTGAGCCGGTTCGCCAGCTTCTCTGTCAAGAGGTGCATTAAACCGGAGGGATTTGGTTCAGTAGTGTCAGCACAGCTACACCATTTTTCTGACGCTAGCGAGAAGGGCTATGGAGTCGTCAGCTACGTTCGCATTGAGAACAGCCATGGTCAAATCCATTGCTCGTTTCTGCTAGGAAAATCTAGAGTGACGCCGCTCAAGCCAGTTACTGTCCCACGTCTTGAGCTGGCTGCAGCTACCATCGCGGTGAAAATGGACAAGCTCATGAAGCAAGAATTTCGAATGGACCTCAAGGAGTCTGTGCTATGGACAGATAGCACCACTGTCCTCCGATATATTGACAATGATTGCGCTCGTTTCAAAACCTTCGTAGCGAATAGAGTGTCGACAATCAGAGAGAACTCAAGGCCAGCACAGTGGAGATATGTCAGTACATCTTCTAATCCAGCTGACCACGCATCACGAGGAATGAATGCAGAGCATTTCATGGAGTGTCAGAGCTGGATTGAAGGACCTGACTTCCTTGCCAAGGACGAGTCTCACTGGCCGGTCCTCTCAGAGTTCTCAAGAGAGATAAGTGATGATGATGCCGAGGTGAAGCACAAGATCACTGTGAACCTCATCGACGCCGTCAACTCAAGCACAGACCCTCTCTTCAAGCTGATTCATCATTATTCTAACTGGCACAGTCTAAGGAAGGCCGTTGCCTGGATGTTGAGGCTGAAGGAGCTGCTTAGAAATCTGTGTGAACAAAGGAAGATCTTTAAGTCTCAAACCCAGTCTCAAGGTAATCAAACTGTGAAACCTAAGATCGTTGACGACCACATGCAGAAGTGGAAATCTGGCCTGAAAGGAACCCATCTGACCGTCGAGGACATCAGGAGATCGGAAACTGCCATCATTCAGTTCAGCCAGAGACAAACTTTTCATAAAGAGCTTTGTGCACTGCAGAAGGGTGATAAGGTCAAGAGAAGCAGTTTCATCGTGAGATTGGACCCGTTCCTCCAAGATGGTGTCCTCCGGGTTGGTGGAAGACTGCATCAGGCAGCCTTGCCGGAACACACAAGGCATCCGGCTATTCTAGCCAAGAATAATCATGTCACAACTCTGATCATCAGGAACGCACATGAGGAGACTGGGCATGGAGGGAGGAACCACACCCTCGCTCGACTGAGAGAAAGAGTCTGGATATGCAAAGGGAATGCAGCAGTGAGAAGTGTGCTTTCAAGGTGCGTGAAATGCCGAAAGAGTCAAACTGCAGTTGGTGAACAGCTCTGCTGCAAAGAGGAGTTACCTGGATTTTCAACCCGCCTGCTGGGTCGCACCACGGCGGAATCTGGGAGCGCCAAATAAGAACAGTGCGCAAGGTACTCAGCAGTGTCCTGAAGCTCCAGTGTCTAGACGATGAATGTCTGCACACCGTGATGTGCGAAGTGGAAGCCGTGATCAACAGCAGACCCCTTACCAAGTCATCTGATGATGTCGATGACCTCGAGCCACTGACACCGTCTTCTTTTGCTCAAGGGAAGGCCAGCACTCCCTCCTGGCACGTTTCACAAAGAAGACCTGTACTGCAAACGAAGATGGAGGCAGGTGCAGTATATCTCAGACATCTTCTGGAAGCGTTGGTCTAGAGAATACTTGCCCCTCCTACAAGAACGGCAGAAGTGGCTGGAGAAGAAGAGGAACGTGAAAGAGGGGGACGTCGTACTCATTGTGGATGAAAGGGCTCCAAGAGGGTCCTGGTTGATGGGAAAGGTGGAGAAGACCATTCCCGACGGCCAAGGATTTGTTCGTCGGGTCCTCGTGAAAACGAAGACCAACACCCTTGAGAGGCCCATTGACAAGTTGTGTCTCTTGTTAGAGACGGAAGAATCTCATGGACAGTGAAAGACATTTCATCCAGTTAATTGTCTGTTAACTACTGGAATTTAAGTTAGTTTATGTTTAGACTTCAGTACATTTAAGTAATGGGGATTTGAGTATAGAAAATGACTTTTCAGTTTATTTGTTTAGTGTAATTGTCATCCCCATGATGAGCAATTAGGGGCCGGAAATGTTGGTGCCATTTTCTATCTAGTAATTTACATTCATATTTAGTTATTATTTTTGAATATGTTCAGTATTTGCATATTATAGAATATTTCTGATTGCATTAGAAATAAGTTACTGCTTTACTATTTTCATAATTTCCTTTGGTTTCAATTTGCATTTGTTAATGCTTAGAATTATCTTGAATAATAGCTGATAGGATTTGACGTTGAGCGATGACGTTGCAGAGCTGTGCGTCTCTGGAGAAAAAAAAAAAACTTGTGTGCTTTGTTCTGACTGGAAATAAAGACGGGGCGAACACACTGTTTTCTACCGTCGTTCAAATATCAACACGCGTAGACTCGTTCTTTCCGTCTGACTGAGTGGTTATTTGCATTCATGAGAAGAAACATTTAAGCACGGACATTTAGCCACTATACACCTTATTCCACCTGATATCAGTAGCAGAAATATCTTGGTAGCTGAAATAAACCAGAAATACACAAGAAACTTGTTTATAGGTAGAATTTGAAGCCTGAAGACACTGCCCCTACTCATTTGAATATTGAAGTAGTAATAGCTACATGAAGAAATTTGCAATGAATGCATAAATGAATGAATAAACAAATTAATTAATAAATAAGGAAACAATTAATTAAAATATCTAATCAATCATATTTAAACTGGCCAACCGAGCAAAAATTTATTGAAAAGAGATTGAATAGACGACATGATTTACATCCAAACGACGTATATTTGGTCGAAAGGTGAAAAGCCGTTGAAAATTGAGATTACAATGTCGATTATGGACCAAAAAGGGACAAAATCAGACCAACCAAACACAGCTATTTTTTTAAAACACCATGCTCTGGTGTCTTAACCAATTTAGGAGAGAAATTGAATAAATAGAGCCTATTCTGATCACTTTTCATGCCTTTTTTTCCTCATGAGAGTACTCAGTAAAATTTCACTTGTGTTTATGCTTCTATGTGGATGTAGCATTAGCAACATAGTATTTATCTATACAATAGATCTAAATAAACAAGCAGCAACACTTCCCGACTGCCTCCAGATTTCTCTGCAGGTTTTTATTAAGGCCAAACACAACAGATGCATTATAACATGAGAAGGTCTGATTTTCAGGTGATGACTTCTTTAAACAGAATATAATCACCTTTCTGCTCTAAATGACCGCCATGATCTGCTCTGATAGCTGGTCTTAATTACTCATTTCACTCTCCTGCCTAGTGCTGCCCAGTTCCTAATCATCTCAGATCTCATCCACCTGTAGGTTCTGCTTTCTTTTCTGTCCAGCGCAGCTATCAAGTCCAGATAATTGTTTGATTTCTGTTTGTTCCCTGTTTGCCTTCTGTTAGTGTCCTCTCTGTCGCTTTCACTAATTGTTTTTATTTCCAAGGTTCATGTCCCCGTTTCCAGTAGGAGATTATTTTTGAGCCCATGTCGTTAGGCTAGTTTATTCCCTAATCAGTGGTGAGAGCATTTCAGCCTTCCCTAGTTATTCTGATTTCCTGATTCCGTTCTCTCTCATCCACTGGCCCTGTCTGATCTGTTCGCCTGAACCTCAGTTGGACTCTTGCTGGATTCTGCCTCTCTGTGCGTTTCTGTCTGAGCTGGATGCTCGACACACAGGAATCTGAACCTGCCTTGACGCTTTGATGGATTCACGCTTTGATGAATTCCTGGAACCCGGATCTGTCCGTTCCTGAGTGGATCGGAACCCCTAACACTGCAAAAATGATCTTAAAATGAGTAAAAAATTCTTAAAATAAGAGACTGTACCCTTAATTTGAGAGGGTAAATAAGATGATCTCCCAATGGAATGAGCATGTTTTTGCCTTAGAATAAGATAATTAGATATTATGCACTTGATATAAGAGACTGCAGTTGTTCTTTCTTATTTTAAATGTTAATTGTCTTGTTCCATTGGAAAAAAAAATCACGCTTACCTATTCAATTTAAGAGAAAATGCACCTAATTTAAGATTTTTTTTTTGTGGTGTTGTAAGGTCTTTAAATGTTGAGGGATTTAACCTCAGCGTGAAAAGCTAATTGTCACGAACAGCACCCTAGTTTATAAGTAACACAGAGTTATACTAATATAGGACATTTTGGACCAGTTCTAATGGAGGGTGACAAGTGCTGCGATACAATATATAAATAACTTATGAAATAATTATTTTAATATTTAATAAATTTTATAGATACACCGATCTGGTTTTGTCAGAAGACTCATAACATTGGACCCAGAACTTAAGCAGACAGATTTTGAAACAAGCATTTATTAAAAACAAGGTGTGGCTCCTCGTCAGCTGGGACGGGCTCACTGGATTCTCTGTAGAAACGGAGACTCAGGTCAGTGACTTCAGAACTCAAACAGGGAACGACAATGAACATGAAAGCCCCCAACCTGGCAAAGTTCAGTCTGAGCCCAAAAAAGAACATGCAGTGGAACTGAAGGATCCAGAAGAACAAATCCAAAACGGTCAGAAGACAGGTCTAAGGTCAACAACAGGCAGAATACAGTTAACAGTCTGGTTAACAGGACTGGCAAACAGAGCAGAGCAGGGGCGGCCAAAACTAAGAAGTTCGGGGGGTGGCGGGGCACAAAACAGGTCAGCAACAGGAGTTGCTAGAATTATTCTCGTTAGAAGCCCAAATAATGGGGTATCACTGGCTGGGATAAGGTGGCTTAAATAGAAGCAGGAACAGGTTCTGATTAGAGATGATGAGCACAACGGAGCAAAGCAGATGAGAGAAAGAAGAGTCAAACCCAGCCTATGGTGCCAAGATCATGGCAGATTCCTGCATCAGATATCAGCTAAGATATTTACTAATTACCTGGATCAGATTTCTGCGATTTGATAATGGAGATCCAATCTAGTGCATTTTACATGGAGCCGTTATTTAATAATTATAATACATTTCTTTTAAAGCACCTTTCAGGATACCCAACACTGTAAAACAAATTAAAAACAGTGGAGGCAGTCAGTGGAGGTAAGCAGTGTTGATCAGATGAGTTTTTGAAAAAACTAAATCGGTGCATCTTTATATAATTTATGAAAACTGGAAATAAATACAGAATTTAGTTGGTACATAATGAAATATATATTTTTAAAAAAAGAAGAGAAGATAATTATTTAATGATTGAATAGATTATTGCATGTTCTTGCACTGAAACACACCATGAACTCACTTAAACGGTCACATCCATCAAAGTCAAAGAGGCGGGACAAGAGCAGCTTCCACAGAAACCTTCCCATCTGATTGGCTGCACCTCATTGAGCGAGATAAGAAAAACTCTTGTGTTTCTTTTACTCTAAATTTAATATTCTAATTGAAAAATGCAAAAAAATTGCCGAAATTTATTTACATCGCATCAGCTGAGCAACTGCTGCCTCTAAATCAGTAGTTTAGTAAGCTTATTAGATATATCTCAGACCAGCTTAAAACAACATTTTTCGCCATAAAAAAACAAACCATAATTACTTTAATTATATATCTATTAAATAAATTACATTTTATATTTATTCCCAGTTTTAATAAATTAAAGACACATTAAAAAATTATTTCATATTTAGTTATTGAATGGTGGCACTTAATTTACTTAGCAGACAGATGTACAATAAAACCTTCATGGCAACACGAAGTAGGCTAAAAGAGCTCAAACAGCAGCACATCAGGCCCTGATCTAAAGAGACTTTAACAGAAACATGTTTAAACATTATAAACCTCTGATAGATGGAAACTAAGTCAGACTGAATTTTAGGCTGAGAAGTTCAGGTGCAGAAAATAAGCTTCAGGACGTCCTCCAGCTCCAGGAACGTCTCTGATGAGAGGGAAGCTGCAGCATCATGCTGCCTCCAGTGCAGAGCTTGATCAACAATGGCAGCAGACAGATGTGAGAGCATCTGTCCTGAACAAAGTTCTCCTCCTGATAAATCCTCCTGATTGTGTCTCCATCTGTTGGACTTAGAGTTTGCTTCAATAATATTGCTCCACTTATTTTAGTCAGCTTCCATTCCAGGAGCTTCTAGTTGACTTTTTCCCAGCACTCAGTACTTTCCTTCAGTCCCTGCCTTGATGCTACGGTGGCTGACAGGAGCAAACAGGCAGCAAACAGAGAGGTCAGAGAGAGGTCCACTGTGGACGTTTAGTTTCATGGGGAAGTGGTTCCCCGTGGACGTTTCTTCTTGGACTCTCTCCCACTGTCTCCATTCAGCATTAATTCCACTTTGCTCTGGAGTCAGAACTGTGTGCTTGTTTGTTTCCAAACCAAACTTTGATTATTAGTTGTTGGATCATTGAATTCCTCAGATGTAGTAAAGCCTGCAGCTGTTTCTATCACTGAGCCTAAGAAGAATGAGTTCAGCTGTTCTGCTGATACAGCAGAGTCTTTAACAAACTGATTAATGTCAATGTTCAATTCTTTCCTTTTTAGTCTGACCAGAAGTTTATTAATATTCTGACAGATTTGTTTTGAGTTTCCATTAGCATTTAGCATTACTGGAATATAAAATGTTTTTGCCATTCAGACCCAGATGGTTCCTGCTGGAATCTGGTTCCTCTGGTCCTCTACACACATGATGGGAATCAGCTTTCTGCTTTACAGGACACTAACTGGACCTGAACCACTGGGAACTGACTGGTTCTGGTTTCTCTCTCAGACTGACTGAAGTCCAGAAGATGGAAGATTGGGATCTAAAGGAGGACAGAGCAGAACCTCCAGGATCCAGCTGTCCATCTATGAGGAGTGACTGGTCCAAACATGGACCTCCAGACTTCAGTGCAGAACCTGGACCCTCAGTCATAAAGTAAGGAACCAGTTTCTAACTGATCCATGTGACTCGACAGAGATAGAACATGTAGAATGTGAACTGGTTGATCTTCAGCATCTAAATCCAAAGTTACTCTGTCCTGCCTTTTGTTAAAAGACAGCAAGAACTTCATTGCATGGATGAGTTACATAAATATGATAATAAATAAGTTTATAGTTTAAAATGAGTCCAGGGAAATCCAAGCTAAAAATATATAAATATTATATTAAATCAGAGAGAGACATCTCACCTTTGTCAAAGCTCTGCGTTAATTACATGAGGTAGTGAGTGCTCTCACTTTGAAAAATATCTTTGATGTATTTTTATCTGGAAAATTCTGTTTCATCAAGTAACCTCTGAAACTGTTGATGTTAAAGTTGACATTTGTGTTTCATGTTTCTGCCTTGTAGGATATTCGTCTTTGTTAGAATTGCTTTGCTCAAAAAAAGCACTTGAATATGTGTTGAAAGTATTTAGTGTAAAGAGAACAAGAAATGTTTCCCAGATGTTTGTGTTAAAGTTAAGCTGGCTAAGTGTAAAATGTTCTGATGATATTCAGGTACAGATATTTGTCAGTGATACAATGTTACAATACAAAATACAAAAACAAAGAAAGAAATCAAACCAGATTTATGAATAAAGGTTCTTCAGAGAGAATGGAGGAAAAGTGAACCTTGTGTGGAGAACTTTGGTCTAGCTTCACATGGTCACGCGTTGTGAGGACAGCACATCTTTAGTTTTTCTTTCAGCTTAAAGCTAAATAAACACTGGAACTTTAAACCTTCTGCTTCTCTGCAGCAGTTTGTGTTCAGAGCTTCTTCTTCTCTGGTTTTTATCTCAGAGTTTCTCACTGATTGATGTGATCTGAATAACAACATGTTTGTGTTTCAGAGGTCAGAACCACAGACAGAGAGCAGAACCTCCAGGATCCAGCTGTCCGTCTATGAGGAGTGACTGGTCCAAACATTGGAACCCTCCAGACTTCAGTGCAGAACCTGGACCCTCAGAATCAGAGTAAGGAACCAGTTTCTAACTGATGATGTGACTCTGCAGAGATAGAACCTCTAGAATCTGAACTGGTTGATCTTCAGCGTCTCACTGGTTTGGACTTTGTTCTGCTGGTTTCTCATCAGCATCCAACAGATTACTGACAGGTCCAAAGTCATTCTCTCTCCTTCCAGCCTGATAAATCCCAGAAGTTGTTCAGATGTGAATCTAAATGAGCAGAGATAGAGACTCAGTGTGTCATGAATCAGCAGAAAGGTTCTGGTTCCTTCCAGCAGGTGGAACTGGGCTGTAGAAGCAGCCCTCACTGCAGCGGGCTCCTTGGTGTCTTTGTCCACACAGTCCTACCTGTGGAGCTGCAGGTTGGGTCCGTTCAGAGCTTCATCATGTTGCTCAGAAACCAGAACTCTCCCAGCAGCTGTTCATCTGCAGCTCTGTGGCGTCTCTTTCCTCCCAGCATCAAACAAACCTTAGCGTCACCCTGCCTCTGATCCAGTTCAGGTTCTATTGGGGTTCTGGGTGGTTCAGTGGTAGAGTAGATGCTCCATGTGCCGAGGCTATAGTCCCTGATCCGATTGTCCTGGGTTTGGTTCCTGTTCTGGCTCCATTAGCTGCATGTCCTTCCTGCTCTCTCCACCCTCATACCTGTCAGATTATAATCCTCATTAATCCCAGTTTGGATCAATAACAGACAGAAACTCAGCTTCTGGTCCTCTGTCTGTGGTGGACCTTCATGAACATCTTCAGCTTCAGTAGGACAGCCCCACCCTGTTGGTAGTGAACTATTTCAGTGATGAAGAAATGTCTCCACAGACGGAGGAAGAGGAGCGAACCCCAGATTGGAGAAAGATCCAGAACCGGAGCTGGACCGCTGACAGCCAATCAGAGCAGCTGTGCAGCAGGTAAGACTGATCATCTCCAATCAGAGCTTCCTTCTATCGTCTCTGTTGAACTCTGACAACAGATCACTGATTACAGGATAGATATTTATATTTACATCATGAAATCATTCTAACAATCTGTTGTTTCAGTCAGACAGCTGCAGCTGATCCAGAATGCTGCTGCCTGCATCCTCACTAGAACTAAGAAAGTGGAGAACATCAGCCCAGTTCTAAAGTCCTTCCAATGGCCCCCATATCTCAGAGAATAGAATTTAAACTACTTCTGTTAGTCTATAAATCACTGAATGGCTGAGCTTTAAAATACATTACAGACTTGTTGTCAGTGGATCAACAGCCAGACCACTGAGGTCTACTGGATGATTTCTACTCTGCAGAACCAGAAGCAAACATGAAGAATCAGCTTTTAGTTCTATTACTCCAGGAATCTGAACAAACTTTCAGAAAACTGTAAAAGTGCTGAAACCATGAGCTGATTTAAAGTTGATTCAAATCAATCATTAAAACCCTTTTTTCTCAGAGTGGCCTTTGACTGTACGATGGAGTATTGGGGCCAGGCTAGAGATTTTTGTATTTATTTTGAGAATAAAGTCCTAAAATTACAAGAATAATGTTGAAAAATAAAGAGACTAAAGTTATCATACCACGACCTGATTCAGAAATAAAGCTAAGAGCTCCGACCAGCTTTGACATTCTGCCCAATTTGATGCTGGTGCTGAAAGATTTCTTAACATGATGCTCATCATTCCTCATTTTAGGGAAGAAAGTTCTTTTTGTAGGAGTTGTCATAAAATACAACTTTATTTTTATAATTTTACGACTTTACTCTCGTAATTTTATGACTTTATTCTCTTAATTTTACTTTATTCTCGTAATGTTACAACTTTATTCTCAAAATAAAAAATAAAAACTGGCCCTAATATGCCGTCGTATAACTGAGCTATCTAACCTGCTAACTGGATCATCAGTCCTTTCAGTTTTTGCTGGGTTGACTAATGTGATCCTACTGGGTTCTGAGATTCACATCAATTACAGAAAATATATTATTTATTTAATGTATTTTACTTTATCATTTACGCAGGTAGACAGAGGGGAGGCGGGGTATTTACTGTTCAAAGGTTTGAAGACACTAATTTAACTATTCAAAAACTCTTCAAAATAAATGGGGCAACATTTAAAACACCTAAAATAGGTAGAATACATTGAATGTTTCCTTAATCTTGATTCTGGCGAGTCAGAAAATTCCCTTTCAAATGAGGTTAGCCTGAATGGGGCCGTTGATGCAGATGATTATTAAACAAATAGTAGGATGCATCTGATTTTAATGATTAGCATTATGCTATAACTGAGCTCAATGCAGCGGCTAGGCGGCTCCAAGCAGTTCCTGCAGCTGTGCCCAGTTCACCACTGATTAGGGTGAAGGTACAGTGTGCAGGAAAACTGGGACACAAGGCTTTAGACATTTGGAGTTTTTATTGGTGCAAGTTTCAGGATTTCCTGGTTGGATGATGCAATGACCTCCTAGCTTAGATAGCTTGGTATAAAAACTATTAGTTTTCTGTAAATAATGAATGTTTCCTCCATAGAAATGAACAAACACAGCCCTCAGTGAGAATATCAGAAATAGTTTTTATTCTTCGTTTGGCTGAAATGTTTCCTCCCGTTTCTTTGTTTCTCCATTCAGATGTTGATGGTCGATGTCAGCGTGACCTTAAAGAGTCTCTGAAGAAGAAGTTTGAATGTGTCTCTGCTAAAGCTGGAGAGAAAACCTTTCTGGATGAGATCTACACAGAGCTCTACATCACAGAGGGAAAGACTAGAGAGGTCAATGATGAACATGAGGTCAGAAGGATTGAAGCAGCATCCTGGAAACAAAACAGAGCAGGAACAACAATCAGACCAGAAGACATCTTCAATCCTCCTGGAGGAAGGGGTCGGATCAGAACCGTGATGACGATGGGCGTGGCTGGCATCGGAAAAACAGTCTTAACACAGAAGTTCACTCTGGACTGGGCTGAAGGCAGAACCAACCAGAACATCCAGTTCATATTTCCATTCACCTTCAGAGAGCTGAATGTTCTGAAAACAGAGTTCAGCTTGGTGGGACTGATTCATAAACACTTTAAGCCAATCAGAGATGCAGGGATCCACAGCTTTGAAGACTTCCAGGTTCTGTTCATCTTAGATGGTCTGGATGAGAGTCGACTTTCTTTCCACCACAATAAGATCCTGACTGATGTTACAGAGTCCACCTCAGTGGATGTTCTGCTGACTAACCTCATCAGGGGGAAACTGCTTCCCTCTGCTCTCCTCTGGATAACCACACGACCTGCAGCAGCCAATCAGATCCCTCCTGAGTGTGTTGGCATGGTGACAGAGGTCAGAGGGTTCACCGACCCACAGAAGGAGGAGTACTTCAGGAAGAGGTTCAGAGATGAAGAGAAGGCCAGCAGGACCATCTCCCACATTAAAAAGTTAAAAAGTCTCTTCATTATGTGTCACATTCCCGTCTTCTGCTGGATCACTGCTGATGTTCTGGAGGGTTTGTTGGAGACCAGAGATGGAGGAAAGCTGCCAAAGACCCTGACTGGGATGTACATCAGCTTCCTGCAGCTTCAGATCGAACGTAAAATAATCAAGTATGATGGAGGACAGAAGACAGAGTCCCAATGGACTCCAGAGAACATCAAGATGGTTCAGTCTCTGGGAAAACTGGCCTTTGAGCAGCTGCTGGAAGGAAACCTGATCTTCTATAAACCAGACCTGGAAAAGTGTGGCATCAACATCAAAGATGCTTCATGGTTCTCAGGAGTGTTTACTGAGATCTTTAAAGAGGAGAGAGGGATGGACGACACCTCCGTCTACTGCTTTGTTCATCTGAGCTTCCAGGAGTTTCTGGCTGCAGTCTACATGCTCCACTGCTTCACCAGCAGGAACACAGAGGTGGTGGAGAACTTCCTGGGAGAAAAATACAGAGAAACATCTCTGGAGGACTTCATGAAGAAAGCCATGGAGAAATCCCTCAGGAGTCCAAATGGCCACCTGGACCTGTTTGCTCGCTTCCTTCATGGCCTCTCTGTGGAGTCCAACCAGAGCCTCTTAGGAGGCCTGCTGGGTCAGATGGAGAACAGTCCAGAAACCATCCAGAGAGTCATCAACAATCTGAAGCAGATGAACACTGATGATAGAATCTCTCCTGATAGAAGCATCAACATCTTCCACTGTCGTCAGGAGATGAAGGACCTCTCAGTTTATCAGGAGATCCAACAGCTCCTGAAATCAGGGAAGAAGCTCTCAGAGACCCAGTGCTCAGCTCTGGCCTACATGCTGCAAATGTCCGATGAGGTTTTGGATGAGTTAGACTTGAAGAAGTACAACACATCATCTGGAGGACGACAGAGACTGGTTCCAGCTGTGAGGAACTGCAGAAAGGCTCGGTGAGTCCAGATGTCTTCATGGTGTGATGCTGATTCAGCTCTATTGTCCTCCTGGTTCTTCTTCATGGTTCTAGTTGCTTCTGGATGTTTTTGCTCTTTAACTTCTTCCTTCATCCTTTGGACTATTTCAACCATTCAAACATCTAAACGTTCAGCTTCTTCAGGACAGCTCTGCTGGAGCTTTTGGTGTTTAGAGATTTGGATCATTTTCAAAATATTCCACTTTGGATCAGTTTCCATCTTCCATTGAAATGAATAGAAAACCTTCAGAATGTAGAAAATCTGTGTTTTCTCTAAAGATCCAATCAGCCAGAGACCCATCAGAACCTTTAAACTCCTCTTCTCTCATTGGACTGTTAGCCCAGAATTCACCTTTTTAGTCTCTTTGACTGTTTTTATAAAATCACTGTTTAGCTTTGATGGAAACTTGGACCATTCAGATCAATCCCTGCATTGCTGCTGTTGCCATGGAGATGAGTTGTTTGGATCCAGAAGCAACTTTTCTTCCTGCCACAGATTTCCTCCATAAAGACCTGTAGAGACATGAGCTTTAACACTTCAGACATTCCAGCCTCTTCTAATTACTGGGAGAACTTTCACTGCTTTCTGCAAATTGTTTAATTTAATAACAGCAGAGATACAGACATCCATGGATGTACAGAAAAGTAGGTTTGTGGGGATATATGTGACAGTATCTGGCAGGAGCGTAACCATTACCTCTGGCACCAATTTCTCCTTTCCTTAGTGGCTAAAGCTCCACATAATCCCCAACAGCCACAGTTTAAGACCAGGGGAGAAACTAGGCTGGTTCTTTAAACTATAAACTAAAACATTTAGAGTTTTAGCTGCCAAACCTTATTTTAGTGACATAATGAGCCTTGAACATCTTGAACTAGTAGCCAGAAGAGCCAAACAGTGAACATCAGTAATCCTCCATTCTTGTGATCAAGTAATTACTCAGCAAACTACATTAAATGGGAGCGACAGGCTAACAGGGTAATAAGCCACATCATTTCATTGAATGGTTTGTCCAGAAAAGGTTTCTGTCGTTTATGTGTGTTCCGGACACTTGTTGTGTATTTTTCTCTGATTTTGACTTTAGATAAATTAAATTGATTAGAAATTATTACAGAAGCAAACACTGACAGTGAATGCTGCAGGATAAATAAAATCCACCAGTTAAAGAAACATCAGATCTGTTCTCAGCACTTTGATCTGTTATGAATTAGTGGGGCCTGCAGTTCTACTCCTCTGATTGGCTGCCTGGAGTTTAAATTAGTTGGATCAGAAGAATTTGTGAGGAAGGCTTACGGCCATACCGTCCTGAACACGCCCGATCTCATCTGATCTTGGAAGCTAATCAGGGTTTAATAAAGCAGACTGGATTAAATTTAGATTCTTGAGTCAAATAAACTTGGAAAAAGTAGATATGAGAATGGACATAAATGATGTAAACATAAACATTTGTAAGATAATTATGGAAGCAGCCGACCATTCTATAAAGAAAACAGGGTGTAAAAATGATAAGAAAATGGTACCATGGTGGATAAATGAATATAAAGAAGCAATAAAAGTAAGAAATAAAGCATTTAAGGTACTAAAAGGTAATCAGATTTATAATAATTTAACTGATTATAAAAGAAAACAAGCAATGAAAAGGAGAACTATGAAGAATGCAAAAAGAGAATATTGGAGACATTTTTGTAGCACAATAGGAAAAGACACAAAAATAGAAAAAAATAGGACAGTAATTAAAAGAATGAATGGAATAAAGAGAGAGTTTGAATATCTTATTTTAATAATAGACAGTAAAAAAATAATAAAAGATATAGATAAAGCTGAAATATTGGCAAGAACATTTAGTAAAATTCACAGTTCAAATAATATTAGTGAAGAGGGTAGAAAAGGAAGAGAAAATACAAAACGTAAACATAAAGATTTACTAGAGTGTGTTGAAGAAACAAACAATTTATTGAATGTTGAGTTTACAAAAGTGGAACTGAATGAGGCACTGAGGAAGACAAAAAATACAGCACCAGGTAAAGATCAAATTTGGTATAGAATGATAAGTCAACTTAGTGAAAAATCCAAAGATATAATATTGCAACTATATAATAAAATTTGGGACGAGGGAAAATTACCGACGAACTGGAAGGAATCAATTCTAGTACCAATAGCTAAACCAGGAAAAGATCATTCAAATCCACAGAATTACAGACAATAGCTTTAACATCAAATCTATGTAAAATAATGGAAAGAATGATTAATACTAGATTAGTATATTATTTATATAAAAAAGGTCATTTGTCAAAATATCAAAGTGGTTTTCAAAGGGAGGTGTACTAATGATCCAACACTATGTTTAGAGCATGAAATTAGAAGAGCACAAGTAAGTAAGGAAAGTGTAGTGGCAGTATTTTTTGATATAGAAAAAGCAGATGATATGATGTGGGTTGAGGGATTATTAATTAAATTATACATGTTGGGTATTAAAGGAAAAATATTTAAATGGATTAAAGACTTTTTAACAAATAGGAAAATACAAGTTAGAATGGGTGAAGTGATCTCAGGAAAATATATAGTAGAAAATGGAACTCCGCAGGGTAGTATTATAAGTCCATTACTGTTCTCAATCATGATAAATGATGTGTTTAAAGATATTGGAAAAGGAATGGGATGCTCTCTTTTTGCAGATGATGGAGCTGTTTGGAAAAGAGGGAAAAATGTAGATTTTATTGTAAAAAAAATTACAAGAGGTTATTATTGAAATAGAGAAATTGGCGTTGCAATGGGGATTTAAGTTTTCAGTTGAAAAAACAAAAGTAATGATATTTAATCAGAAAAAAATAAATAAGGAAATAAAATTAAAACTATATAGCCAAGGATTAGAGCAAGTAAAGTGTATAAAATTCTTAGGATTATGGTTTGACGAAAAATTAAAATGTAATATTCATATTCAAAAAGTTGTTGATAAATGTAAGAAGATTTTAAATATTATGAGATGCTTGGCTGGCAGTGACTGGGGAGCAGATAGGCAATCACTAAAACAGATTTACACAAGTATGATAAGATCCAACATAGACTTTGGTTGTTTAGTTTACGGTTCAGCAGCTAAAACACATCTGACTAAATTAGACATTATCCAACATCAGGCATTAAGATTGTGTACTGGAGCATTTAAAACCACACCAACAGCAGCAATGGAAGTAGAAATGGGAGAAATGCCGTTAGATTTAAGAAGAACAAAACTAGAAATAAATTATTGGTTGAATTTAAAAGGTAATAGCTTAGATCATCCAACTCGGGAAATTTTAAATCCATGTTGGGAAAAAGAAAAGAAAGAAATTAGGAGTTTTGGATGGACAATTGAAAATAAAATAAAAAAAATTAAAATTAATGATTTAGAAATTACTTTAACTACACCAATATCAGTTATACCACCATGGATTCTACCAGAGGCAATAGTAGATATGGCAATAATGGAAATGAAACGAGATAAATCTTATATCGTAGATAATTATTCAGTACAGTTACATTTAAACAATTATTATCAATATATTTAAATTTATACAGATGCATAAAAAATAAATAGGAAAATAGGAATAGCTTTTGTAGTAACAGAATTCAATATAAGAATAGGAAAACAAATTACAGATGGATTATCAGTATACACAGAAGAAATGTTGGCAATATTATTAGCTTTGCAATGGGTAGAAGATATAAAAAATCAGTCATTTGTTCAGATTCAAGATCTGCATTATTAAGTATAAAATATAATCAATCAGATAGCAGGATGGACATTTTATTAGAAATAGTTCATACATTATTCAGAATACAAAATATGGGTTTGATAGTTACATTTCTGTTGGTTCCAGCTAGCCTGACGTAGTCCGACTCAATTCTAGTCAGAATATGAGTCTAATGCTGCTCCATAGAGCTGTGATTATGGGGCGTGTTTCGAACGAACCAGGAAAAAAAATGCCTCTGCACTCAATTGGATAGATCTACAACCAATAAGAGCAACGGAGTGCGTGACGTATGTTAAGCGATGCATAGTTGTTGTCAACAAAAATCAAAGCGTGCAGTTGCACGCCTAGAATAAGAAGATTAGACTTGATCGCGTTTCTCTGTTCCTCTTTTAAAATTAATTTGCTGTCGATATCTTCTAGAACAGACCTAATAGCAGAATCTACTCACCCAAACTCTCCAGCGGCAGCCATTATTGTTGTCACCCTAGCGCGCTTTGGTCACGTGGTTGATTACGTTACTCTTGATCATCTGTCCATCATCGTATAAAGCCCGCCCTGACAATTTGATTGGATCGCCTGACAGTGGGCGATAATACTCGCGCTACTATGGAGCAGAGCCAGACTGAACTTCCCCGAACTCAAACCTTGTGGGCGGGACTAAGTTCGGACTGGCACCCAGGCTAGGTTCCAGCACATATTGGAGTAGAAGGAAATGAAAGGGCAGATAAAATGGCAAAGACGGCGATTCAGTATCCTATTAGTTTTACAGTTAAAACAAGTAAATCTGAGGGAAAGAATTTTATTAAAGAGAAACTGTTGGAAAAAGGTGGAATGAAGAAAAAACAGGAAGATGGTTTTATAAAATTCAGAAGGCGGTAAGAGAAAGGAGAAATGGTAGAAGAAATAGAAAAGAGGAGAGAGTGATAGCTAGGTTAAGATTTGGACATACAGGACTTAATTATACACTTTTTAAAATTAAAAAACATAATACTGAAAAATGTGATTATTGTGGAAAGTATGAAACAATAGAACATGTTATAATAGAATGTAATAAATATGAAAGAGAGAGAAGATTTATTTTAGAGTTTGAATGTATTAAGGAAAAGGTAAATTTATTAGATATTTTGAGGAAGAATTTAGGGAGTAAACAAATACAAATAGTTATTAGATATTTAAAGAAAACTAAATTATTTCATAGAATTTGATTATAGATGGTCTTTATGATATTGATGAGTAAAATACTAAGATATATATATATAGATAGAAATAGATATATATATTGATAGATAGATAGATAGATAGATAGATAGATAGATAGATAGATAGATAGATAGATAGATAGATAGATAGATAGATAGATAGATAGATAGATAGATAGATAGATAGATAGATAGATAGATAGATAGATAGATAGATACACATAATGTTTTGGGAAGAGAAACGTTTTATTTCGCTGGGTCTAGCAAACCTGCCGGACTACTTTCGGCTTGACCAAAACTGGACGAGAACTCTGCTCACAGGACACTGCCAGGGGTAAGTCAGTGTGATTGCATGACACTGGTGATGGGGATGCCATACAGATTCATGTCAAAAATACCGAACTATCCCTTTAATGTGAGAAAACAGAGTGCCAGAAAGTGCTAAAAAAAACTACTTTTCTCAGGACATTGAACACCACCTGATCTATAAAGTTGCATTCAATGACCGAAAAGAGCATTGATTTTTTTCTGTGTTTAGCGACACCTCTTAAAACAGCGCATTAAACTGCTGGAGTTGATGGCGTGCCTTTGAGGTTAAAAAGTTAAAATAAGTTATGTTGAATTTCATCAGTTTGTAAGTAGATTTTAAAAGTATATATTCTTGGCCGTAACAAACGGCGTCGTAGTGAGCGCTCTGTTGGTTAGCAGCAGCTATGTAACCTGCTCAGGTTGTTTTTCCTCCATTAACTGCTCAGCAGAGCTGAATTGATCACATCCAGCTAAGCAGTCAGCTGAAGTCAGATTGTCTAAAGTTTACAAACGTTTTGGCCTTGGAGAATATTTATCTGTTAGTATTATAAGGGGATGAATGTGAATTTTCATATTTAGACCTACGTGTGTGTTTTCCATGTATACAGCTAACCCCGCTAACGTTAGCTCATGCTAAGATCCTAATTCATGCTAACATGCTAACTTCTCTCATGTTCTTCATTCATGGAGGCTAACTGAAATGTACTCATTTTATGCTTACTCATACTGTGATCTAAGTGAGTAAAGTTTGCCTTATTCCTGTATTCTTCAGTTTTATGGTAGTTGTGGAATGAGGACTTCATTAAAGGACTAGAAACGTCAAGCCTTGTGGTTTTTTGGAGGGCTTCTAGCTAACCGCTATCTGGCTGTCTAGCCTTGCATCGGCACATGCACTGCGAGGGCAGCACAGCGGGACTTTCAGAAGACATTTTTCATGGATTTTCAACCAAACGCCTGGTAAAAGGACCCAGTTTGGTCCCTTTAGGCTTGCCTTATTTCCCGCTACATTCATCCACCCAGATTAGATGTTCTTCATCCTCCTACTCATCATCACACCCTTCCCTCTTCCAGCCCTACAGGAGAAGCTTGTTAGAAACCATCACAGGTTTGACATCAGTAACATTGGCTGAGTTAAAGGAGGGAACAAAGCTTCACTCTCTGCTGATCTCACTGCTCTGCAGCTTCTCATCTCCAATGTTGGACATGTCTGTGGGGCTGTGGAGAGAGGAGAAGTTAGGAACTGATGATTATTAGCAACATCTGACCTGTAGAAGATGTGAAATCATAGGCCAGTTCAGGCTCTGTCTCCTCCATCAGGTTCATGTTTCATTTAGTGATTTCATCAAGTCTAAAGTCATGAAATGAGTGACTGGAGTCTGACCTGAGTCAGACCTCTGAGCAGTTCATTCTTCTCTCTAGAATCACCAGTAGTGTCCTTCATCCAGCTCAGTCAGCCTCTTCATCAGTTGCTTCAGTTCCTTTGAGTCTCTGATGCTGCAGCTCCATCAGATGCTGCAGAGAAAACTGAACTTTCCTTCACAGACTGATAGAAGATCTGCAGCATCTGACTGCAGATGCTGCTGCTGCTAAAACCTTCAGTGTTGTTCTGTGAACATGAAGCCTGAGCTGTTTGAACCTGTTGCTCAGCTTCTCTGTTTGTCTCTATCACTGTGCACTCAAAAAAAAAACTTGTTCCCAGAACGTAATAAAATTATGGAAATAATTTCCACCTAAATAAAATGCATTAATTTAGCGAGAAGCAATTTTGTTAAGTGAACAAAGTGTAAATATGTTGGGGCAACGTGATGTATTTGCATTACTATTACTTAATTACCAGGGGTCAGTCCAACTAGATAAATATAGGTAAATGTAACATACTAACATAATTTTCTTAAGCCATTTAAACTTGTATGATAGGATTATTAGGTACATAATTTAATAGGGTAGTTACAACTACTTTTCAAAATAGCACAGTACATGAATTTATTGTGCTGAGCCCACAAAACAAAGTTAGGTAAGATTTTAACTTTATCATATGAAAATGAACATAAGTAATTATTCACAAAATAAATCATTTTTAACGTATACATATTCAGCTATTTAAAATGTACATGTCAGCCTATATACCCCCAGCTGGTGTCAAGTTTGGAAAAGAAAAACATGAACTAAATTGTATTTGTTGAAATCACTTTACTTTAAAAATGACTACGTTGTGAAAATACACCAAACAATAAAGCCTGAAACAGTGTCCAACATCATGTCTGTAAAAAAACTACAACAGATAGACAAACAAAAGTTGTAACTCCTGAGTTAGGAAATTGGAGCCCCCTGTCATTAGGTGTCTATATTTAGAGCTCTCAGCAAAGCCCTTTACAAAGTTATACGCAGAAAGTGGTCCTGTCAACTGAGTGCAAAGAACAATATTTGAGAACAACCAAAATACAGCATAATGCATCAATATCAAAATAGTTTTCTTTAGAAAATAACAATTTGTTTTAAAACCTTACCTTTGCATAAAGAAACATTTCAAAACATTCTATTTTGTAAACCCAAAATAGCAACAGGATGTATTAAAACACAAACACAGCTTCCAGTTCAGTAACTACTCAAATGGCTTCAAATGCCTTCCCATTAGAGTAACTCCAAACCTGTAGTTTACTCTATTGAGGGTGACTAACACGCAAGTAGAGTTTTCAGTGTTTGAGTTTTTTTTTGAGAGTCTGTTTCCATCAAGCTCCATGATGATCTTCTGCAAAGCTTCAAAGGTGTATCTGAGCTCTGGTGGGTAGCTGAGGTTAAGCGCATATACAAGCGCAAACAACATGACCACAGCAAGTGGCAAGTTTCCGAGCCCATCCAGAACTATACCTACATCTTCCGGTCCATCACCTGGCTCTGCACCTTCCTTGCGAATGACAAATATTCCAAATGTCGTCTCCATCACTGCAGCTTCACTGCTCCCACAATCTGTGTTCTTCACAGAAAAAAGGGGGAAATAGAGGATATAGATGTAAAGATATGTTATACTGGTCCCATTTTTAAACACACTAAATTACATACCATGTATTCTTTCACAAGATTCTCGGGCTCTTCATTCAGGTACACACACAGGGCTTTGAAGATTAACTCTCTTTTGACATCAATGGCGTCAGTCTGAGTATGTAGGACAATAAATAAAAGATAAAACATTTTAATCAACTGGTAGAAGATTTTACAAACAAAACTTTAAATTATACATTCTTCGAAATGTAAAAATCATTGACAATTTTTATGATATATGAACTTACAATATCCATGGGTGCATTGGTTTTATGTACCAGCAAGACATTTTATCATAGAAATATGTCAAATGTAAGCATGTGGTCCCAGGAAACAGAACCTACCATTGCAACATCAGTGGACATTGTCATATCTGCCCAAGGTTAATATTTTATAAGATCCTTCTTCATAAAAGTACATTACACCCCTCTCCATCTAGTTTTATTTCTTTCCATCCCTCTGAAACTTCCGCTTTAAATTTCAAGCATTAAGTTTAGAATATTGAATCGGTACAGGTTTGACAATTTCTATTTTATTCTATTATCATACCTTGGTGATTGGTATCATGATGCTCCTTATCTTTCTTCCTTGAACGCCGCCTTTCTTGCCAAACACCAGTTTGAAGAATGAGCATCCAGCTGGGAGAAGAACTTTGACAGCAAACTGATGGTTGTAATCCTCTTAAATTCAGCAGTTAGCTTAAACAGAAAGGGTACACAAAAGTAAATTTAACTATCATAGCATTGAAATGACCGACTAGTTTAACAATTGTCATCACCAAATCCTAAATCAGCTTACAAGTTATTTCCAAGGCTAGCCCACATTTTGTTGGCTGATATAAATCACACTGTACATATTTCAATCAAAGTTAATGAGTGCTGTGCATTTATTCAAGATGCAAATTGGATGATTGATTAGCTACTAATTTAATTTATGAGGCAAACAATGCAATCACATTCCTAAAATGAAAAAGCATTTCTGAAAATACTTTTTCATTTTCAAAATTTACATTTCAAATTTATTTTTGGTATGTATTTTCTGGGGTCCATTTTCAAAAAATAAATCTCAAATGTATTTTTCTTTTTTATTTTAATTAAGTAAAATGATGAGAAGCGTTAAAGAAGAAATTTAAAATGCAAACAGGATGATTGATTACCAATTTCATTTATGAGTCAAACAATGCAGCCACATTCTTAAAATGAAAAAGCATTTCTGAAAATGCTTTTTCATTTGAAATATGGTAAAGATTTGCTTTCCTAGCTGGGCTACAGCACAACAGTACATTTATGGTAGCACACATTTGTTCCCTCGTCAACAAAGTGAATAAAATCTGACTGTGGAAAGCTCCATAGCACGAAGAACTACTGTGTTGATGTTAGTAGCTGGATGAGCTAATGCTACGTGGAGTTGACATAGAAACCCCGCCAAGGTGCCGGGATGCCGTGGTAGTTTCCAAACTTTGAGCTAATGACTGTTAAGTGCCGAGCTTTCTGCGGACTCCACACGAAGCCAAGATTCGGATTGGGGGGAAATTCATCACCACTATTATTATTAATGTAGCCTATGTGACTGGAGCCTTTTAGCTGCAGCTACATTCACCAAACGCAGGCAATTATCCCCCACCAGCCATGCCTGCATCAGCTCTTAGCTCATTTTGTAAATGAATCCGCACGCGTTGTCAACCATGCCGTCGACCTCAGGACGCTAGCTTGTAAGCTTAGTTAGCTATGAGCATGGCGACAGTCTGATATATTAATGCACTCTAATAAAACGCCCAGTAACAAATAAATAATCCAAAATGCAAAAGAGGACAATAACTAACTGTCTATAACATGTCTGCTGCCGTATTGTTTTCTGTTCGATGGATGATAAAAGATTAAACTTACCTTCTTCCACACTTGAAATTTCTTTTCAAAATGTCTACTCCTTCTGCCAGCCAGAGTCGGGGACTCACTCACCTTTGACCGTGGCCTTCAAGAGAGGGGAATGTGCTCATTACTGCCACCTACTGCTTTGGAGTGTTATTGATTTGCAATCTTAACCCATTAGAATTAGGTTGTTTTAACATAAATTATTCAAGTAAATTTTAAGTTGTTGCATTTTATGCTAAATCTACATGATTTAAAACTGTTCAACCACAAAACATGATTTTATATAGTAGAAGCTACATGTTAGACATAAGATAAGGTAACAGACACCCAGTTTGCTTTTTTTGAGTGTGGTTCAATGGAGCTTCTAACCAAAGCAGAGACACAGCAGGTCTGCAGCTGAACCAGGACCTGAAGAGACTGAAGAGATTCTCTGTGGTGTCAAACAGGACATTGATGAGGAGCAGTGATGGTTAATGAGGCATCTTGAAGCCAAACTGGATTGATGCTGCGTTGATACTGTCTCACAGAATACTGACACCTGCTGGACATTTAAAGACACTACAGGCAGCTTATTGGACAGACTAAAGGCCCATTCATACCTCACGTAAAAGACGGATACGGATACGTGTGGAGTGTTTCATACGTTCTAACCGTCGATTTCGTCCGTACTTTGACACGAAAATTGGGAGCTTACGCTTACGGACGAAACGGATCACTACAGAGCAATACTACCGGAAACGGTGGGGGCACTATTGAGGTTTTAGTACAAAATGTCAACAGAATCAGGTCTTGGACCATCGCCATGTTTTGATCAATGACGAATCATTGGCGCCCAGCACTGCCACCTAGAGGAAATACGGGTTATTGCGCACCTCAACGGACGGAGGTATGAAGGAGTCAACGGATAGAACGTACGGACAGAAATACGGACGTGCAGGCCAAACGTGAGGTATGAATGGGCCTTAAACTGAATTGATTTGATGACCGAGTACAATGATATCATTTAAACTATCGTACGTCATATTATATTATTTCATATCTATGCTTATATTGAAAAGATCTTTGATATTTTTAGATGCAGCCAATAAATAATTCTGTCATGATGGGTTCACTGAAAGCGATCCAAGAATGCAGAACACCACTGACGGACACAATGATGAAGGTTTAACAGTTTTATTATGCACAAGCACACTGAATATTCTGGTTCAGGTTCGGGGCCTGTATTCTGGTTCACCGGAGTCTGCGTGAGAGACAGTTCAGTTAGCGTTGCCAACAGAGGTTTGATTTCCAGAAGTCTACTGATTGTACCTTGAGGGTTCTTGAGGTTAGCTTAGGGAGAGTCTCTGTTGGTTCTGGAGAAGAGTTCATGAGCAGAGTCCGTAGCTGCTTCAGCGTCTCACGTCTACTTAGAACAGACCTTGGCTTTGGGTTTCCCAGCTCTAGTCCAGAGCTGCTTGGAGGTTCTCTGTGAATCTTCAGGTTTGGCTCAGAGGTTCGGCTCGGCAGGTTAGCTCTTCCAGAGCTTTCACAGAGGAGGCACAGGTTTCCTGGAAAACAGACACAGGGGTTAGAATCCACGCTGGATTCAAAAGTCATCGAATTACTCTGAGAGTCTAGGCTTAAGCGCTGACCAACTGGAACAACACTGCGGCGTTGAGGCAAGGTCTGAAGACAGCTTAAGTAGTGGATCCTCTGATGATCTTGATGAGCTGCAGCTGTGCAGGAGGCTTCCTCAGGGGATCCACGGCGGACTCTGCTGGAGAAAGGTGGAATTTCTCCAGCTCCCAACAAATGTAAACATATAAGCGTATATAAAAGGAAAATGTGAATGAGGATGCTTGTGGACTAGGATTTTAAATCATATTTTTAAAACAATAAGTTAAGTAAAAACAGTAAATAAACTAAGAGTCAGTGTGAAATGAACTTTAATTCAGATAAGTTGAGTGATAACTGAGAGGAAAAGTTTGAACCAACGAGAAAATTAGAATAACAACACAACAGCTGAAACGTTCCTATTCCTTTTAGCCTCCAAAATTCTTGATCATTTTATCGATAAACAGCAAAATATGAGACATTTTTTTAGCAGATGCATCATGTTGACAGATCCGTTTTTAAACCCAGTTTAGTGAGTCAGTCAGTTAGAAACAACTCCTGTATCGGTCACATGACTTTCTGGAAACGACACGCGCACCGATACAGTGTTTAGCTCTATGGGCTCCATGCATGCACCGACGCATCGCTGTTGCTGGACCCATCACTAATGTGGAGAGCAGATGTTCATCAGATGATGACATCACTGTTTGCTCATCATGTTTTAGTCTGTGTTTATCATCCAGATTGTCTGATTTCATTAGAACTGACTTTATTTCTCCTCTAATCACAGACTTGGTGGCTCTTCTCTCTCTGAGGCTGAATATGAAGTTGTGGCCTCAGCTCTGAAGTCCAACCTTCATCTGACTGAAGTGGAAATAGAGGAGATCAGTGGAGATTATTCCTTTGGAGACTCTGGAATGAAGCATCTGTGTGAGATACTGGAGAGTTCAATCTGCAAAGTAAAGAAACTGCTGTGAGTTTTCTCTGTTTATTCAAACCAAATCATTCACTGATACTTTAATGCTGATTTTAATTCATCATTTTATTCTAATATATTTTCTTTAAAAACAGCTGCTGTCCAAATGTCAGAATAACATTTATCAGACTTTTTACTTTGTAAATGAATTATTTTCCTGTTCCAGATGTTCTAAATATTAAACATTATTTTCCAGATGTTCAAACTTTCAAATGTTTTGGACTGATGGACAAAAATGAGGAAAATGAGTCAAATGATGTTAAGTAATGATGGAGATGTTTCAGTTTGATTTGGGAAAGATTCAGATGATGAGACAAGATAAGATGGCTTTATTTCTCATTTCTGAGTCACATCTTTCCATCCAGAATGACATTTGGTTCCTCTAGAGTAGAACCGGAACCACAAACATGTTAGAATAACTAGAATAAAATAAGACGATCTAAAAACTAATGTTTAGGAAGAAAAGACAAAGACATGAAATCTTTGTCCTGAAGCTGCTGTTCTGTTGGACCGGGTCAGAGAGAACCCGTCCTCTTCAATCTGTCAGCTGTCAGAGTCACTTGGAGACACAAATACTTAGTTACTGAACTTAAGCAGCTTTTTATTTCTGACTTATTTACTTCTTATTTCCTTCAGTATTTATTTTTCAGAATCCTTTTTCCTTTTCCTTCCTACATTTGAAGCCAAATATCTGGACTTTCTACTCCTTCCTTTCTCCAAACTGGCTCATTTCTTCTCTCCATATTGATAACGACATGACGTAAGAGCTGCAACAAAACAGGGAAAATCAGGAAGAGAATCTGTCCAGTTGGAGCCCAGTTAGTTTGTAGAAAAACACTGATAGAGACATGGATGAAGACAGGAGGCTGGAGACATTGATGGATCAGATTGTGAGACGCAGACATTGCTGTTTTCTCAGCAGAGAAATTATTTAGAAGAATCAAGTTTTTAAAAGTCATTTTTTATCTGTTAAGGCAAAAACTTTATTTTAATTTAGTAGAACCTGAAAGTTTTACAAAAAATTAACTTTTTCATTTTTTTCTTCAACATTTTTTAAAGTAGCTAAAAGATGAGAAAAGCTTTTCACTGAAGATCATTAAGCTTCTGAGTTTTTTAGAAAAACCTTTATCTGAATCTTCGATCATCTAATAAACAAACATTTTTAAACTCAGAGAATCTTAGAAACTGATTAAATAGATTTTGTTGAATCTCTGTCAAATGGTCAGATCCTAAAAACACATTTGATTATTTTATTGATGATGAGAGATTTCCAAAACATGGATAAACATTGATTGAGCTGTAACTTCCATTTTTCCTGCTCTGAGTCAGTATTAAGGTTTAATCTCTATCTTTGGTCTGGATTGATCCGTTTCTTTCTGTTCCTGTGATCAAAGACGCACCAGGCTCCACCTCAGCTCTGAAATCAGCCCTGTTCTCCTGCTGCAGGGTTATTTGCTTCTTGTTGTTTTTATTTCTGTGTAATGATGGAGGCAGGCCCACATCCCTGGACTGAGCAGCTGTTCTGCCCGTTAAAGGAAAGACAAACTGCCAGTCCGTCCCTGCATGGAGCTCCTAGTTCACAGTCACGGTGCCCCGTGTGCACAAATACCAATTTCTCTGTCTGGTTTTTTCTCCATTCATTGTCAGGTTATGGTGGAGCAGGCAGCCATTATATGAAATACAGTGAAAGTTATCTAATTAGTTTCTGATCAAAATGTTTAAATGTGGTGTGATTGTGGGCCACCACCATCACACTCATCAGTTCAGGCTGATGAAGGCCCTGTCCTGCAAACCTTACTGTCATTTTCCACCTTTGGAGCCGTTTGAATAGAGAGTTTTGTTTCCGTAGTTTCTAGCGACTCCTCTGGGCTTTATCTCCATCTCAGTATGGTAGCAGCTGCGTACCGGTGTTATACTATATTCAGTGACCCTGGCCAAAGAGAGAATGTGTTCAGTGATGCTGTATGATTGGGCCAGCACAGTGTCAGTGAGGAAAATAACCAATGGTCATTGGACTAGTGTTTATCACGTGCCGGGGTCACATATTCTGCTGGAATGTTTTAATGAAAAGTTTTAATCTGCATCCTGTTGAATTCAGCTAAAATCTTTGATTCTTTATTCAGATTGATTCAATGCAGTCTCTCAGAGATCAGCTGGGCTTCTCTGGGCTCAGCTCTGAAGTCTAATCCATCCCATCTGACAGAACTGGACCTGAGTGGAACCAACCTGGACCCTGGAATGAAGGAGCTCAGTGGGTTTCTCCAGTCTCCCCTCTGCAAACTACAGACATTGAGGTCAGATGTAGTATATTTGTTTATTCTAATAACATTACAGTGCAAATCTCAGTGTGAAGGTCAATCAGTGAGCTAGTAAAGGATCAATAGGCTGCTTTTTCAGAAGATGCTGCATGAACACATGTCCAACAACTGGCAGGAAAGTGAAAAAGGGAGAATTATCAGCCAAACTGTTAAATCACATGTTTTTTTTAATGCAGATGAATCAACAAATACATACAGATTCTTTAAAGGGGTGATATAATGATTCTATAGGGTATTTGGTCCTTAAGGTCTCTGAATAGGGTGTTAAACATTAGTTGGGGTGAAAATAGCATATTAGCTGTTCTATGAGCCCTAATGCAGCCTGGTTAAAAGCCTCAGAATGAAACAACAGGTTTCCTTCTTTTTATGGTTTGATCATGAATATTTAGATGAGCTGTGCTCTGATTGGTTGGTTTACAACGAGGGAAGCTGCTGAGCAAAGACTCAGTCCTACTTTTCAAACCTAAAAAAATGTCCGGGGGGAATTTCAAAATCGTCCAGGATTTTGGTCGACTACAGTGCAGCAGAACCGAGCCATCAGCTCCGGGGCTGGTCCGGGTCCGGTAAGGCAGGTGGTAGGAAGCATACCATTGGGGAGGATGCAAACCGTCACCGGGTCGGGTTCGGTTGCTCTGTCCCCGCCTGGCTCCGGACCTGGACCAGTCCCGGAGCTGATGGCTCGGTTCAAATGCTCGGTCCGGTCCAGTCAGTGAGCATCCAACTTTGCAGGGATCTTCTGATACACAGAAATAATCCATGCCTGTCGAGTCGTCGGATCCTTGGAACATGATTTGGGTAAAGTGCTGACTCAGCATCTGGCCTTCAGAAAGGTCAATATTTCAGATGCAGTAACTGTCACACCTTGAATAAAATGATTATAAACCTACAGAGAAAAATATTATAGGCTTTTATTTTATGATAAAATTATAAACCATGAAAGTAGCTGAAAAAGTTCAGTTTGAACAAGTTAAAGAAAAATGAGTTTTAAATCACTTCCTTGTTGCCTCCAGTATCTCAGTAGTGCAGTTTGTCTGTGTTCCCCTTTTATTGATTATAACATTTTATTTCTAAGAACCTTCAGATCATCCTATGGATAAACATGGTACTGAATAAAATCATAAAAACATAAATAACAGCAAATCATTAGAACTTGCATTGACTTGGATAGACATAAAAGTCAGACCTAAATGAAAGGATGAGGTTGTGTTTGGTCTTTGATGGCCATCATGGGGCGCCCAGGGAGCAATCGGGGGTTAAGGGTCTTGCTCAGGGACCCAGAGTGGCAGTCTGTGGGAGTGGGTTTCAAACTCACAACCTCAAGATTCCAAGCCCTATGCCCTAACCACTAGGCCACCACTCCCCACTGCATTCATAGAATCAGACCAGCCTTAACCCACTTCAGCTTTTAGTCTCTTTATCATCTTATTTTAAACACATTGGGACTTTTTGATAAACATAAAGCATCAAGAGGCGAACTTCCCAACCAGACTGACAATGGAAATATTGGAAGATAAATAAAAAGAGGCTCCAAAAGAAGACAAGACCCAGAGCTGAAGCAGGTCAGACAGGGGAGGCTGCAGGACACAGAGAAAAAGGCTCCTCCTCCTCCACTGAGAGCAAGTCAGCTCTCAGTGGAGGAGGAGCCTTTCCTGCCGTCCCTCTCCTGGCCTCAACAGCTGAACAGTTAGATGCTGATCCTACAGCATCAATAACAAATATCCACGTTGGTCTGGAGGGAGCTGCCATTCAATGGGCATGAACCCCAGAGCTGAATACTAAATGGGTGATGTGTCTAAATCAGCAACACTGCTGCCCTCTATAGGAGGGAATGAGGAAGGTCAACTATTCCTCTATCTCCCCTCTTTAAAGGAAATATACACTATATACTTGTTATAATAAAAAAATGATTGAAGAAATAACTATGAATATTTCAACAATAAACAATAGATTGATTTTAATCAAGCAAACAAGTTGGACAAAAAATTAGGTCTTTTTTCTTTCATTTTTATGAAGTAGCTAAAAGATGAGAAAAGCTTTTCACCAAGGATCATTAAGCTTCTGAGTTATTTAGAAAAACCTTTATCTGAATCTTTGATCATCTAATAAACAAACATTTTAAACTCAGAGAATCTTAGAAACTGATTAAATAGATTTTGTTGAATCTGTCAAATGATCAGATCCTAAAAACACATTTGATTATTTTCTTCATGATGAGAGATTTCCAAAACATGAGATAAACATTGATTGAGCTGTAACTTCCATTTTTCCTGCTCTGAGTCAGTATTAAGGTTTAATCTGTATCTTTGGTCTGGATTGATCCGTTTCTTTCTGTTCCTGTGATCAAAGACGCTCCAGGCTCCACCTCTGCTCTGAAATCAGCCCTGTTCTCCTGCTGCAGGGTTATTTGCTTCTTGTTGTTTTTAGACATTCCAGCTTCTTCTAATTACTGGGAGAACTTTCACTGCTTTCTGTCTTTGGAAATTCTCAGTCACATACTCACCTATATTGGGTTGGAATAAATAGTGGTGATTTTTATTGGTGTTTTGGTCCATGGTGTAATTAGTTGTTTCTTGCCTTTTACTTATAAACTGAAGTTCAGTTTTAAACAGATTTTTTAAGGACAGTAAAAAAAAATCTATTTTAATAATTGAAATAATAATCAGAAACTAAATAATAAGGCAGCTACACTGCAATGCATTTAGTCTGCAGTGCTGCAGATCAAATTAAATATAGTGAACCACTGACTGCCACCATCTAAAGGATTAATTGGTTTCTGCCATGAAGAAAAGTGGAAACAGCTGCTAAATTTGAACTTTAAATTCATGCAAAAAAGAATTTTTTTTTTTTTTTTTAATTCATTAAGAAATTGTTTACTTAAATCCATGGATGTACAGAAAAGTAAGCTTCTGGGGATATATGTCACAGTATCTGGCAGGAGCGTAACCATCATCTCAGAAGTGAGGAGGACACATTATTCAGAGTGATTTATTCGTCTCTGGCATCAATTTCTCCTTTCCTTAGTGGCTAAAGCTCCACATTATCCCCAACAGCCACAGTTTAACACCAGGGGAGAAACTAGGCTGGTTCCTTAAACTATAAACTAAAACATTTAGAGTTTTAGCTGCCAAACCTTATTTTAGTGACATAATGAGCCTTGAACACCTTGAACTAGTAGCCAGAAGAGCCAAACAGTGAACATCAGTAATCCTCTATTCCTGTGATCAAATGATTACTCAGCAAACTACATTAAATGGGAGCGACTGGCTAACAGGGTAATAAGCCACATCATTTCAGTGAATGGTTTGTCTTTAGATAAATTAAATTGATTAGAAATTATTACAGAAGCAAACGCTGACAGCGAATGCTGCAGGATAAATAAAATCCACCAGTAAAACAAACATCAGATCTGTTCTCAGCACTTTGATCTGTTATGAATTAGTGGGGCCTGCAGTTCTACTTCTCTGATTGGCTGCCTGGAGTTTAAATTAGTTGGATCTGAAGAATCTGAGAAACATTCATGTGAGAAAACAGAGTGCCAGAAAGTGCTAAAAACTGCTTTTCTCAGGACATTAACAACCCAGTCTCATGGGAAAATGTACCTCCACTACGTTGGTCCACACTGGAAAACGTAGTGGAGGTACATTAATGGCCATTTTTTTGTGGTACTGTTACGTTTCTTCTGCCTATACGCTTTCTATTGTTTTACGTCCTAGTCACGTGACTTTCAAGATTCCAGCTGAGAGAAGAAAAAAAAATATATAGATGGCCGACATTCGCTCATTTTTTGTGAAAAGATTAATGACTTGAGTTTGTTTTTCCATTAAAATGAGTTTTGATTACATTTCTAGTGAGAATTGTATAGTTTGTTGCCAGAATATTTACTCAGGGAATGTACATATTCACTTGCTTGTTCGTTTCTTGCAAAGATTTTTCAAGATAATGTGAAACTGAAACGTTTTGGTATAAACATGGCTGAGATTTCTCTAACTTTTAGTGGGAAAAATCAATAATTTCAATCAGTTTCTGCATTTAAATAGGTTTTGCTTACATTTATAGCGAGAAGTGTAGGGTTTATTTACATAATATTTACTTAGTGAACATACATAATCACCCGCTTGCTAGTTTTTGCTACGTTTTTCGGATCTCGTCAGGATTATGTGAAATTGCAACGTTTTGGCTGCTACCCATCGCCTAGCATTTAGCTGCCGCCCCGATTCAACATTGAATTCTTTGTGATTTAACTCCATCTGACGGATCAAACCTTCGCCACTGCGTGCGTTGCGTCTGAGGTGGATTTTCAGATCAATGCATTACGTCGTGGCATCCGGGAGAAACTAATTAAACTAGTTAAAAAAAGGATCATGGGTTAAGATCGGATGTGTTTTATTTGGAAATCTACCGGATCCTTTGTGCAATTAACTTCCTGTTTGGTGCGATCTCATTGATGGGTTTTGACCAGATTTTGACCAAAGAGGAACTAAAAAAAAAAAAAAAAAATTTGAATACACAACCAGCATATCTGGAATCAGTGACAGAGAGCGACTGGGACCAGAAGTTTATTAATTTCTCCCCATTGATTTCCATTCAAAATTTTTTCAATCCCACCAGGCTCTAGGGAAGGGGCGGGCATACCGCCACCTACTGTTCATGAGTGTGTAGCAACATTGTTTTACATCTATTAAATTCTATTTTTTTATTTTGTCTTCTGAAGATAAATAAATAATGCTTTCCTTAATCTATAAATATCTTTTATATTTCCTTTATTTCCCAATAATCCTTTAAGACTCCATTCTTGGCCTGTCCTCTTTTCAATTTCTTCCTTTCAGGTTCATATGTTTTGCAGTTCATCAATACATCTGCATTTTCTATCTCTCCACATCCTTCACATTTAATATTATTTTTCCTCCCTATTAAGTATAAATTGTCATTTAAATAAGTATGACCTACTCTTAATCTGATCATTATTATTTATTCCC